GTTGGTTCCGAATGTGCCACGCAAACCTCGTGTTCGGGGTGCAATGGTGTTTGGTGCAAGGGAGCCATGAAGTCGTAGTACACGGTGAGCACCGCTAGTTTCAATGCTTGCAGCGATTGAAGTGCAAAAGGCTGCTTTTGTATGCGTTTGCTTGCATGTTTGCCCATGTTCTTTTGGCAGGCACGTGGTGGGTTCGACGTAGACATGAAAGTACGGCGGCTGGCGTGCATGCTTCGGTCATTTCGATGCAAAGCATATGCAGGTGACTCTTGAAGTCAGTTGAAACTGTTCAATTAAACCACAGTCCAAGCTTTGCAATCCGTACTACGGACTCCACGTGTAGTAAGCCAATAAGGTTTCCATGCTAGCAGGACCATCCTGGACCTTGGTTTTCGGTCTCCAGTTGCTTGTTTTGAACATGCTTGCCTGCCAGCTGTCTGGAGAACTGTGAAACAACTTGATAGTCCCAACAATCAAACTCAAGGCAGAGAGGCTTTTTCCAGAAAAGCTCCATCAAGAAATGCGGAGCTACTTGACGACTCGACCAGTTTGAAGTATGTCCAGTCATATCACATCGACGCCACCAACCAGTCAATCAAAATCTCACGGTTTGATGGAGCATGGGAAGTGCTGCTGCTTCAGCGAAGCGGCTGGCAGGAAGCACAAGCGGCTCAGAGTTTCAATTCAGAAACGGGATAGATTGAATATAGAGCGACTGAGCGACTGCCAAAAAAATCAAACGGCCTTCTCAAAGCTTGTTACGATCCTTTGGGGAACCGTTGACGGTTCCCCCTCATATGATAGGGGGACCCTGCGACATTTGTGACGGAGGTGCACAAACAAAGAGGCTGACGATCAGATCTCCATCCCAAACCCTGTGACGGTTCAATGCAGGTTTAAAGTGAAATGATACGTGCGTATGAGATCACATGAGTAATTGGTTTTTGTCCAATGCCGATGACTATATATATATATAGATTACTGTTTTGTCAGGTGTGAGGGGCAGCAGGCTGGCAGATGACCTTGAACTTCAGGAGGGCGTTCATGTGTCATGTGTGGCATCACGAGGCTGCCACCAGCTGAATTGTTCTCACAAGTTTTTGGAGGAGCTACTCAAAGGGTGGGAACGGCTGGGCGTCAGCTTCTCGGGTGCCATACTGCAAGCAGAGCACAAAGAGACCGTCAAGGAGTATGCTGCTCGGCATCGAAGCCTCAATTTGGTTTTTGAGAGGTGCTCAGACGATGACTCCCTTGTAAGTCAGCAGAGATTGTAGCAAGTCAAGGATATGAAGAGCGATTCCTGGACGGCCACAGACACGATCATGGGTGAAAACCAGCTGGTCATCAAGACCACAGGCTCCAGATATGATGGAGGATTTCCGGTGCATTGTGTTATATATGTGACTTGATCGCCAGGCGATGGCTTGCTCACGTTGCGGCTGTCAGAAGCTGGAGGGTTCAAGTGGGAGCATATTGGCAGTTACAGGTACGAGTCTTGACATTTCTCGGCACAAACTACTATTGTTTCTATTGTGTGGGAGCACTTTACAGCACTTGCCGCTACGTGGCTAAGGCTGGGTGGAAAGGGCAAGGACCCTTGTTTGCAGATGACTACTGTCTCTGTTGAGTTGTCATTGTCGTGGTGTCAACAACCCATGACACAAGGCCGTTGGAGGCCTTTTGTAGAGAAGGTTGGCTTGTTGAGAATCTCGGTTGCGTCCGTCCTGATGAGGATGGGCAAAGCATGCTGAAAGTTGTTGATTCAAGCACGCAGGCCGACTGAAGAGTCCGAAAACAAATATCTAAAAATAGAAAATGTAAAGAAAACCAAATACATTTAGGAAAAGTCCGCAGGATCGAAAGGACTCGATAATGATAATGATTGCAAGTGTACCAATGGTTACTCCAGCTCTTTGGATATGTTATTCACAGTTTTGGATGCTTGCAGCGATAAGCCTTTGCACAGGGCTTCTCCGTTGAAGATCTCCGCCAGTCCCTGGAAGAGCTTAGATATACCAAGTACGGGAAATCCTCAGCACTTTGCCTGCAACAGCTCCGCTTGCCCAGTTCAGAGTGCAGAGGAAAGCACTTGAATATTAACTTCTAGATGGATTCGTTGATGCTGCACACAGTGGAGAATGCTGGAGAGCTGTTGGACAGATGAGTTTCAAGCAAAAAGCTGCCTAAGGGTTGCATTCCATTCCAAGAATTTGCCCTCCGACTCTTCGAGAGACTGGCAGGAGGGGTTGATAACAAAAACCGTGCTGGTTCCGAGCAATTTTGTGCTGATTTTGCTTGAACTAAATACTACATCATACTACTTGGAACACTTCAATGTCCATTGGAGAATTTGTGCTCACATTGCTTTGAGTGTGTGCAACTCCCTCCAGCTAATTGTGCACAAAAAAGGCCGGCCATGCGAGGGCCAGAGAGACTTGGACCCATTGAAGGCCGGATTGGAAAGGGAGACGATCATCATTTGCAAAATGATGTCCTTTGAAGTTGATAAAACATGTTTTGCCCATCTTGAAGGGAGTTGAACATGGTGCCACCAAGCCAGCTCCTGCGAACAACGCGAGCTGGAACTGGCAAGCAGGTGCGATTGAAAGTTTCAATTCATATTGTCAATCCGCTGTTTGAACCGGTTGGCAGGTTCCTAGACATTGGTTACCTGCTACAAACCCTCCCAAATAAGAAGTAAAACACTGAAGAAAATATACAATATATAAATAGATTATATGTAGTACCTTAAATACTTCTCCATTTATGTAATAAAAGAGATATGGATGTTTGTTTAATATACTGTAATATATTTTATTCGATTTATGCATTCAACATATTATTGCTTTACTTATAATATTACGATAAGGCCTACTAACAGGCGCGCGCGCGCGCGCAATTCGGCCAAGCCAAAAGTCCTAAAAATCTGACAAGATGTTGGGATTTTTAGCGAAGACATTTTTCGTTTTGGCGGCTTCATATTTGGTGTTCGGGTTTAGCGTCAGCGGAAAGGACCCGGAATAGTTGGATGATTTTGTAAATTTTAAGTTTTCAAAGTTGATTATCTGGAATGTTCGTTTTGCTCTCCCCACTGCTGCACTACTAGGCCTAGGCAAAAGCATGACGCTTGTTCGACTCCTCCCAGGTCGATGGAAACATGAGTATGGAGCTTGTGATTTTGAGGCATAACACAATACTGCAGAGACTCATATTATGCAGGTCAATCCACAACAGATTCTACCAAGCAGTTACAACCATACACAATCATGTATTGATATCCAATGTCCACTTAGGTATTCGTATCTAATGTTCAATCCCGTATCTAATGTCCAATCCACCATTAAAATTTTAGTTTAACCGATAAAATCCGGTTCGCCCAACTTATTGCTTTTAAAACCTGGTTTGCTATACAGTTTTGAGCTTGGGTGATGCCAGTAACCGTTTCATCTCAGGTCAGGTTCCAATATTGCTCAGGTTTCAAGTATATTCACATGTTTGCCCAAGCGTGCCTGTAGTTGTAGTCATTTTGTGATGTCATGCAGTATCTTTGTCCAGAGACCAAGTTTTTCTGTCCATTGCCCGCCACCGGAGGGGGAAGGCCGGGAGCGATTGTATTCCTGCCTGGAAGAGTTCTGGTAAGAACGGCTGTGAAGCAGTCCATATGGCCTCGACACCTTTGATGCTTGGGTTAAAGCCCCGATTCTTCGAGATGCGAGATCCGAGCCTCGGGAGTCGAGATCCGAGCTCCTAGATTTGAGATCCGAGATACGAAAGCCGAGATTCGAGGTGCGAAATACCAGCTTCGAGATTCGAGATCCCAGAATTCGAAACACGAGATCCAAAATTCGGGACTTGAGATCCGAGATCTGAGATTCGAGATGCGAGAGCCGAGATCCGAGATTCGCGATCCGAGGTTAGAGATGCGAGATTCGAGGGCCGAGATTCGATATGCGAAAACCGAGATTCGCGATCCGAGATTCAGAATATTCGAGAGGCGAGAGCCGATATTCGTGATTTACGTACGGAAATCTTCCTGTTAATTTGTTTCTTCTCTGAAATGATGGAGTTTTACCCCAAAAATAGACGTAATCGTAATTTTATAAAATATGTTATATAAAATTAAAAATGTTTGTTCTATTGCTATGGATTTGGGATATTTAAAAATTATATGTTAAAGAAAGATTTGGGAAATAATTAATACGGGGAGAAAAAAATATAACATAGAATAATTCCAATAGATATGGTTTGAAATATATATTTATAAATAATAATTTATAAAGAACATATGCAAAGGCATAAGTAATTTTGCAATTTATAGATAATGAATTGGATAATAAGATATGGATGTTTGATTTATTGTTTATCGGTTTAATAAGGAAAGGGGTTTGATAATATAATAAGGTTTAATAGTATAAAATATGCGTACGTAATTCGACGAAGTCGAAATTCGTTTTTTAAAAAATCGGTATTATGATTTTATGATTTGCATAAATATATATATATATTTTTTTTTTTTAAATGAAAGTTAGCGAAGCTAGCTGGAATTATTCTTGCGATAGCAAGGTTTTTTTCGATCGGGTGTAAATCCTAATCCCTGATTTTTTAGGTCGAAGCTTCCCCTCTTCTCGTTTCTTCACCTCCCCTCTCTTTACCTCTCTTCTTCCTTGTTTTCTTCCTATCTTCCTTTCTTCCCTCCTTCTTTCTTCCTTTTTCGTAAGTTCGATTCCGTCTTGTCGTCGCTCTTTGGCACGCGGTTAGCGTTGCGTATTTTGCGGCCGCAATCGCTCTCTTTCACTCTTTTATTGTTGTTTCGTTGTTTCACTGTCTCTCTCTCTCTCTCTCTCTCATTTCTCTTATCTCTCTCATCTCTTTTTTCGTCTCTCTCATCTCTCTCTCTTCTCTGTCTCTCGTCTTTCCGTCTCTCTTCTCTCGTAGGAGGATCCGGGTAAAGAGGCACATATAAAGGATTCTTCACCCCTGCCTCCGAAAAGAGCGCCGTGTTTTTTCTTACCTTGTTGCCCTCCACTTCCCATTTTGGAGCGCTAGCTTTCGCCTTTCCCCTTGGCCTCAAATTAAGATAATTAAATTTTTGATAATCGATTTTAGGCTTAATGGAAAATACCCAAAATAAATGGTATTTTTTGATATTGGTTTTGAAACGATTTATTTGATATTCGAAATAATTTGATTATTTTGAAAATTTCGTTTCGTTGTTATGATTCTTTGTTTTGGTGGATTATAGGAATATGATGATTTCTTTTTATTCTTTATTAAATTTATATTTTCAAATAAATATATAATATGATATTTTAAAATTATGCGAGATTCGAAAATTGGTGTCGGTATATATTATTTTATTCGTCGAAATAAATGAACTATTTTGAATATTTTTTTGTTGTGGTTTTTTATTTTTGCAATTTGGGAAAATTATTTATTGAATTATGTTTTATTTAAACGAATAAATTCTAAAAATAAGTAATTATTTATAGAAGATTATAGTGATTTAATATTTGCAAGTTGCGCGAATGGAATCGGAATTCCGAGAGTCGAAGTTCGAGATTTGAGATTGATTCGAAATGCGAGATTTGGTATTCGAGATCCGATTTTGGAGATGCGAGATGGGTATTTTGATCTTCTAAATTCGAGATCCGCGCTTTGGGAGTCGAGATTTGAGTTCCTAGATTCGGGATTTGAGATCCGAATCCAAGGCTCGGGATGCAAGATTACCAAATGGAGGATGTAGAAATGGCGTCGAGGGCAATGCAATATAATATAACGATAATTTTATTGATATTTATTTCTTCGATAAGATTTTTAATGAAGGTCTTGATGGATCGTCCCTTCGAAATATTCGTTGATGCATAGATGGGGACGATGGAGCATTTATTTAGAATGATCGGAATATTCTTGCAACGGTTCGCGCTCCTGAATTGCCAATGTAATTTCCTTCACAATTCTGATTGCTAATTATTCGATCTTTTTAGAAAATACTAATTATATTATAGGCCGCAATATTAGGCATTTAGATGATATAATCGCAGATCAAAATAATCTTTATTACAATTTGAAAATCGTAGACCGGCTAATTGTTTGTTTTATCCGTGCAATTTTTTAATTTCGCCCGCATATACAAGAGTTCATCACACCCATGTTCGGGCACATCAAGGTGAAATATACAATGAACTAGTGGATGCCGCGGCCAAATGGGCCGTCAGCCAGGGTGCGACAAGAGCCGACGAAGGACAGTTACGACAGGCACTTGCCTTGCTAGGAGAAAATGCCGAATGGATGTGGCTTTTCTTCGTGTCCCCGGATCCGTCAAAAACCATTGGTCCTTCGGGCATTCGACAGCATCGAACGGGGACAGTTGCAGAAGAAGAAATTCAGCTCATTGTCACGGAAATGATCCCGGACTCCTCACGGGCAAGAGCCGTGTCCCAGCTTGCCCAATTTGATCTGAAGCTTGCCACGTACAATGTGTTATCGGCCAAAGATCAAATTATGACTCAGGCACCAGAGCTCGGACGTGTGGCCCTGCTTCGCGACCAATTCCAAGCGGCCGGATACCACATCATGGGTCTCCAGGAAATTCGGAATAAAGCAGGGATGATCGCAAGCAGCACACACGTCCGATTTTGTTCGGGGGCAGATGGACAAGGTCAGTATGGTACAGAGTTGTGGTTTTCCCTGGATATTCCATTTGCTGTTGATGGTAAGGGTAAGGCACATTTCTTCAATAGGACTGACTTTG